CCGCAGTCTGCATTTCTTTCAGTCGGACTTTGCAGACAACAAGGAGTACATCACAGTGATGGTGTATAAATCGGGAAAGAAAATATATATTCCAAGTATGTGAATTAATTGTGTTTGAAATTGAAATCTTCGACCCTCATGTTCTCTTGATCTAAGGGACTGTCCTCCAGTCAGTCCACAATTGCACCATAAAGGCTTTGATTTCCTTTTCAGTCGATCCTAAGCCTCTTTACGAGGGAATGCGAATCAACAGTCCGCACTTTCTTTGTCAAATGGTTGTAAATGAGCCAGGAATCCAAAAGTATACGCTAGTAGTAGCACAGGTTCGCTTTGATTTGCTCAATAAGTTGAAGAAAAATGAAGTTTGTATTTAACTATGTTCTTCATTTTGTCATTTCAGTATGAGAAAATGAAAACTATTTATTACACTCTGCGAGTCTTTTCATCATGTCAATTCAACCTCAGTCCGATCAAGAACCCGTATAATGTTAAGAAAACGGTGAGTTGTAAATTTTGGTTTCATTTTTGTGTTACTCAAGTACATTCTTCAGGAAACAGGCAAGTGGGAGGGGCGTACTGCTGGTGGCTGTGGTAATGGAGCTAGTAGAGAGACATGGAAGTGAGTGCTTCCTCTCTTCTTTCTGATTCACATAATTTCCGCTTATTTCTCTCTTGGTCTGTATGTATTTTATTTCATTTTTCAGGAATAATCCAGTGTATCAAATTAGTCTTGAGGAAAGCAGTGACGAGAACCAGATACTCATCGATTTGAAGGGTCCCAAACAATACAGCGTAGGCTTTGAAGTGCAACAAGTTTCATCGCCAAGGAATAAACCGCTCCAAAAAAAGAACACAGATGTCTTCAGGTAATTAGCTTCCTCGAAGTTTATGTGTGAGTTGAAGTTGCGATAAATTGGTCGCTTGTCGGGAGTATGCGTAGAGCACTAAGAGGGGCAGCCGATAAGAAAAAAAGAGATAGCCTGAAACCGCAAAATGGGACTATTGTTCCTATTTTTGATTCCCGCGTTGGGGAAGTTTCATCGGTACTGACGTCAACAACGTGAACGCTCTGTGCTTCTCTGGTAAATGGCTACAGCCCAACGGCAAAGGGTAACCAATTTTTGGGCGTGAACAGATGCGGAGAGAATTCATCGCTACGAGTACCGACTGTTAGGCCGCTACGGGCGCATTGTTCACGTCTCTAATCATGTCGTTGTTTTTTTTTCCAACAAAAACGATACATTAAATTGTGAGTCCATAAGAACGTTTGAAATATTTCCCTGTGGGAGCACTGCCTGCCACACCGATGTAGGCGGCTGTGTCTTTCGTTTCTATGCGATATGTGTGTGCTTGTTGATACTATGGGCCACAATGGGATCATGGTTGGTAAATATGTTACTAGTAAATGTTGACATGAGGACATACTGTATATTTTTTCAGGCCTGGTTATACTGTACTCGCACTTGATAAAGTCCCAGCAGGGAGTTTATACTATTCCCCAATGACATTCGAGGTATGTTGCTGCCGTTTTGGAGTCCGGCGACTATTCATTTTCTTCAATTCTTCCTAATCCACGTTTTTAGGCTGGCCAAGAAGGCCCTTTCATCCTGAAGGTGGAAGCATCATGCGGATTTCAATGAATAGACTTCAGCGTGATATTTCATTCCCATGACATGATTGTTTGATACAACGAATGTACATATCCTTCAACGTGTGATGTCCATAGATGTTAAAGTGATCTCTAGTTTTGTTTGACGTTCGCATATTCCTCGTTGGGTCAAGTTTTATGTGGTCGCTCAAGTCCTTAGCCTTCAATAAATCGTTTATTTAATAGGTTATGGTTATTCAACTTCACACGCCGAATCATGACTATGTGATGGCTTCACTTACATCCTGCCTTCATCATTCTTGTATTAGTTTCGAGCACTACTAGACGATTGTACAATTTAGAAAAGAACAGTAATTCATGGTTACGGGGTTCAGCCTTTGACTCTGGTTGAAAGTGATGTTTGTGTGCCTTCCTCTCTTTTTCTTCCTGCTCGGTTATGCTGATGGAGATGCGTATAGTGAGGAACTGAAGATTTCGAGATTACCTAGCGGTAATCTTATGACTGCGTTCCGCTTCACTGTTATTTCTGATGATACGCAACTGGGTAAGTTTCTGCTGATCGCTACACTCATTCACTCTTGAGAAAAATGGCACATTTGGAAAGATGTGGCCAAATTTAGGTCCAAACTATTCCTTGTTCCCGAGGATAATGGCTGAACTTATTTCTTCTCATTCATTGTCGGAGCTATCTTTCATTTTGACACAAGGGCGATGGCACAGCTCTCGTTGGGGTCTCCCGCCACAGCCGAATGGGCCTACTGGAGCAAGTGTTCATGCATGGATCTACGGAAATGAAACCGAGTATGTATTAGTCGCATCCATTCACCACAAAGCATTTGCCACAGTCATTGTAGGGTGGATGACAAATGGGGAACATTGATCAACTCTTTGAATGGCCTGTTGTGCACGGCAATGACAAGTGTTGTACCTGAACTGACTTCTTCGCCAAATCTGGCGTTCAGGAAGTTAGGTTCAGACACGGAACGCGAGATGCACCTCCGCTACAGCGCGGTGGGAAAGGAAACTGTTTGCACTGAGAATATGACTCCGTGGAAGAAGTTACTGCCTTGTAAACAGGTCTGCGTCCTTTCCACCTTTGTTTCTTAGTTATACAATCTTACCCATAAGCCGTCTACGTTTGACCATTTATTTCAAACTGCCTTCAGAATGGACTCGTTACTCTTCTGAATCCACTCAAGCTTTACGAATCTGTTTACCACGCGATGGGATTGGAACTTTATCAACAGCGTCAGGTTAACTTTATTATCGTCCTAAGATCGGATAGTTTCAATTGTACAACACTGTGTGTTTCAGTTTATGATTGAATTGTAGCCTTCATTGTGGTCGTTTTTTATAAGCGAGAGAAACTGCCCGCAAACAGTGAAATATGAATGAGTGCAGGGCCTCCTCACTCCTAGGCAGTCGGTTGCCCTTAATCTCTACCATAAATACCGTCGCATCATGAGGACCTGGTTTAGGAAAAACTAAAAAAAAAGTAGGACCTTATTTGTCTATCCGCCGGCTCATCACGGTTCGGGGTCTTCAACTTGCTTATTGTTCGCTCTTCTGTCTCTGGAAAATTGAAGTCGTTTTTTTATCTAGTTGATCGAATTCCATTTCTGTCATACATTCCATTCCTAGCCTTCTACTGAACAACTTTTTTGAAGCGTCACAGATTCCGATAAGAAAGGAATCCGCTTCGATCAATCCTTTATTGGAATGTGACTCACGTTCGGTTTTCATTCAAAACTGTAGCGGTATCTGGATGCGATATGGCCTAAATAGCGACCTACGGGATCAGCTGATGTGAATATCAGTCTCTCAACCTCGCAGACCGATCTGGTATCGAGGGGAGAGGGAGG